CTTTCCCTCTCTGGTCAAATTAAACTAAACAAATAAAATTAAATTAAATAATTCTTTAAGAAAGTAATAATCATTCCTTGAGCGTAAGGACCTAAATTTGCCTGCAAAGCTCTAAGCTCTTTGACATACCTTCCCTCCTGCACTGAGGCATAGTGGCGGGTGAAACAGACACCCTCTCTCCTCCACACGGGCTCGTCCACTCATGTCCTTGATAGACAAATGCGAGTCACATTTCCTGCCTGTGACGGGCTGGCGGTGGCACCCCTTATCACCCGTATTTTCATTCTTCAAGATGCAGAAGTTAGAATCTCAGATCTGCTTCTTCTAGGTCCTAAGAGAAGACATTTCTTTTTTTTTTTTTTTTTTGAGAGATTTTCACTATAGGGCGCGTGCGCTCTCCAGACAGAGAGAGACGTAGAGACCGAAAGCGAAAGCGAGAAACCCCAGGGGGGGGGGGATGGCCACGCCGCAATCCCTTCTCCTCCATTCTCCTCTCAGGATCTTGGGCACTCATGCACATGCGCCCAGTGTGAGTTTTAAGCCGCCAGGTCCGGGACGCAAACCGTGGTTGACTACGTGGGAGTCCGGCGACATAGCCATTACGCTAACTGCTGGTTCCCAGAGAAGACATTTCTAGCCAGCTCAGGAAAATATTCTATCTTGTCATTTTGGTTCCTTCTTACCCTGATCACTAATTACCCATTTTAAAAGTGTTGTGCTGAGTCCTCTTTGGGCCTTGTGTTAAGGACTGTGTTTCTCTGAGAGCCGTGCTTAGAGTCCGCATTTTCAAGACAGGGTGTGAGAAAGAAAGAATTTATTCAGCTTTAACTGTGCACTTCATGCCAGGGCATGCCATGCTCGAAAGCCGCATGAGTAAGAGACTTTGCCCTTGAAGGCGACTGTCACATAATTACGAAAGGATGTCAGAACTGCTCTGTCAGGGACAGGGAGGCCGGCAAGCGGCGTGGTGATTGGGGTGCTGGGTTCCCACATGGCCGACTGTGGTTCAAGTCCCAGACCCGGAGGCTTGCTTTCTCACTTTTCCTCTCTCTCACTCTGTCCCTCTCTGGTCAAATTTAAATAAATGAATTTAAATAAAAACAATTATTAGGAAAAAGAACCACTCTGTGGGAACACAGAAGTGAAAGGTTTACATGTGACTTTTGTGGGAAACCTAATCTGTCAGTAATTCTCTCTCAAAATTGTAACATTAAGATGAGTCTGGATTATGTGGAAGTCAGATTTGGCGACCCCTATCCAAACAAACAAACAAACAAACAAGGGACCAGCAGTTAGCGTAATGGCTATGTCGCTGGACTCCCACGTAGTTGACCGCGGTTCGCGTCCTGGACCCGGTGGCTTAAAACTCATGCCGGGCGCGTGTGCGTGCGTGCCCAAGATCCCGAGAGGAGAATGGAGGAGAAGGGATTGCGATGTGGCCATCTCCCCTGGGGGGTGATTTCTCGCTTTCTGTCTCTGTCTGTCTGGTGAGCACATGCTCCCTATAGCAAAAAAAAGAAACTCTCCAAAAAAAAAAAAGTAAGGGGTCCAGGGGCCCTTGTGCGTGACAGAGCCTGTACCAAAGACTCCTTACTCCCCAGGAGGTGGCTGCTATTTTCCATGTGGCTCCAGCAAACCCAGCTGTTTGGTGTCCCAGCCCTTAGCTGGTCAGAAAAGCAACTGAGGAAGGACTGGAGTGGTCACGTGAGCAGGGCCACGGGGTGCTGCTCAGAGTGGGGGGCAGCTACGAGTGCAGCCAGGTGCTCAGGGAGACAGACTCCAAACCACAGGGCTGGGAGGTTTGTGAGCCACGCAGGACAGCTGTGTGTCGGGAGGTGCCGAGGGCCGGGGAGCCTGTTCTGTCCCAGAGGCCCCCCACAGTCGCTGTCTTTGCCTCAGGAAGGTGTAGTAGGAAAATGGACGAAACACTTCGATTTTCAACAAAATGGCTGACATATGCCAACCGCATTTTCTGTTTGCTTCTTGAAAGATTTGAATTTTTTGTTCCCATGGAAGAAGTCATGAAGAGGTCGCTAGATGTCGCGGTGAAGAACAGCAGGCCCCTTGGCTCCCACAGAAGAAAGGAGCTGGGGAAGGTGAGTACAAAGGGCTCGTGCCGGAGAGTCTGCGGGACCGCCCTGTTACTAAAACCTGCCCCAGTGACGGTGCAGTCTCATTGGGAGATCGGTCTCTTTTTTTGTTTGTTTGTTTCTTTTTTTTTTGTTTCTTTCTTGCCTTTTTTTTTTTTTTTGGAGAGGTTTTTTTGCTATAGGGCGCGTGCACTGGCCAGACAGACAGAGAGAGACAGAGAGACAGAAAGCGAGAAATCACCCCCCAGGGGGGATGACCACGCCGCAATCCCTTCTCCTCCATTCTCATCTCGGGATCTTGGGCACGCATGCACACGCGCCCGGCGTGCGTTTTAAGCCACCGGGTCCGGGACGCGAACCGCGGTCGACTACGTGGGAATCCAGAGACATAGCCATTACGCTAACTGCCGGTTCCTGGAGAAGGGTCTCTTTTTAATATTCTTTTTTTTTTTTTTAATTCTCAAAGGGTACATGTGCTCCTCAGAGGGAGAAAGCGCCCCCTGTAGGGTGTGGTCACACTGCAAGCCCTTTCCCTCCATCTCTCCACTCCCTGGCGTTTGGGGCACGCACACACCCACGCATGGAGCGTTTCAAGCCCCTGGGACTCACAGCACAGTCAGCCATGTGGGACCCAGCTCCCTTAAGCACTAGGTTATGGGGCCAGCAGTTTTTAAAAAAATTTTTTTAAACTAAAGAATTTAAAAGTATAAGTTAGTAGATAAACCTTATCTTAACAAAGTTAGGAATTGAAATTCATCATTTTACAAGTATTGGAACATCTCCTATGGTATCATCTTTTTTTTTTTTTTTTTTTTTTTTTAATTGCCAGAGGGTAGCGGTTTACTGAGTAGAGAGGGTACTTCATAGGCGGCCATGGTCCTACCGCGATCCTCTTCCCTCCATTTCTTTGTCCTGTCAGGATTGTGGACATGTACACATATGCACTGGCATGTTTTTCAGACCAGCGAGGCCAGGACTCAGTGTGGTCGGCCATGTGGGACGTGCCTCCCACTGCAGTGTTTAACCCTGTACTCCGGGCTGGCCCTAGGTGTTGCTGACAGCCACAGCGCCGTGGGAAGCGTCGATCTCGTTAGGTCGAGAGTTTTGTGGTGATGGCAAATAATCTAACAAAAGTGAAGGAATTATGATTCCCAGAAAAATGCCGAAGAGATGACAAAATATATAATACTTTATGGTTGTTTATATATTAATACACACCGTATGCTCATCTTTTTAAAAAATTTTGTCAGAGGGCACATGCACTCACTAGAGGGCGAGGGAAAGGGATGAAGCATCCCCCTGTAGGGGACAGTCACATGGCAATCCCTTAGCCTCCGTCTCTCCCTCCTGGAATTTCAGGCACGCGCACACACCCCTAGTTTGTTTTCCAAGCTGCTGAGTCTGGGACTCAAACCACGCAGGCAGCCATGTGGGATCCAGCCGCCTTCACCCACACCCCCAGCGGGCTTCCTCGTATTCATCTTTTTAACGCCTACTTCTGTGACGTTGATGGGCTCCCCCTTTGCACCGCCGAGACAATCCTCTTTCTATAATATTCATAAACTTTAAAAGGAAAACAACTGAATAGCCTTGAATTCTTGAAGTAGAACTCCACACAGCAGTTTGCCCTCCCCAGGACGCCGAGGGTGGCGCTGGCCCTCTGGACTGACTCCATGCTGAAAGCCCAAGGAAAAAGAGCCCCCCGCTCCAGCCCCGAAAGCCAAGGAGACCCCTTTGTGATGGGTTCAGTTCATCCCAGTGCGTCTCCATTCAATGCAGTGTTTTGGGCGGGAACTAATTATTTGTAATCATTTAGGTCCTGATCGACTTATCAAAAGAAGATCTGATTAGGGGCTTCTCGCAATGGTAAGTGTACCCTTTCACTTTGTCCCTGTTAGTCTGCGGTTCGAGACACCGCCTCAGACAGCTGCCGTGTTCCCTCCCGAGTTCTTTGGTGCGGTTTGACCAGCAGATTGCATAATGACTACATTGCTGGACCCCCATGTAGTCAACCGCAGTTCAAGTCCCAGATACGGTGGCTTAAAGCTCACTCTGGCCACGTGTGCATGCGTGCCTAAAATCCTGAGAAGCGAATGAACTGCAGTGCGGCCATCTCCCGGGGGTGGGGTGGGGGGCTGATTTCTCGCTTTTTGTCTCTCTAGCAACCACACACTCCCTATAGCAAAAATCTCTCTTGAAAAGGGGGGAGGGCAGATTAACACCTTCACTTACGGCTTTACTGTCGGCAGGCCTCACTTCCTAAAGGACTCTGTCAACCTAGCCTTAACCCTGGCTGGCCAGCTTAGAGATGGGCTTGCTGGTCCCACAGAGGCCCAGGCAGCTTGTCCTGTCACTGCCATGACACGCTCCATTGCTAACCTCAGCCCAAACCTGACTGCCTTGCAGGTACCAGCTGACCGCAGACGGGCAGCCCAGGAGCTGACGATGGGCAGTTTCCCTCCTCGTGTTGAAGTGCACGCGTGTACTGCGTCGTCGCTAACTCCCAAAGCCGTGTGCGGAAGACAGACACGTGCCTCCTGCGTGAACGTTAACTGCATGCATGACCGGATGGTATCGGGAAGTTGTGTGGGGGGGGAGCCGCTTTCTCCTGGTTGGACTGTGGTGTTCAAACCCAGAAAGTGCAGTGTTCGCGCCTAGTGGGTTTTCTAAGCCTCTGGTGAGCCTTCACTTTTGGTAGGTAGTTACATACCGTCCGATTTAGGGCTTGCCCCATTGTCTGCCCCAGAAAGCGCCCAGTCTCTGCCGCAGGGGTCAGAGCTCGGGGAGGTCTGTTTCTGGAGCAGCTAACGGTATTCCTGGGCTGGGAATGACCCAGGAGGGCACGTCTCAGAAGTGTGAACCGATTCCAAACTGCCCAGAGCCACACTGCTGAAGGCCTTCTGGCGGCCACCTGTGGTACTCGTGTGCCTAGAGATTTGTTCCTATATCTGATTTACAGCCCAAAGGTATTTCTCCAAAAGCAACAATGCTACAGTGATTCTCTTAGACAGCCTGGGTTAGGAAACACTCCAGCTCCTGGCTGCCCTCAGCCCACGGTATTATCGCCGTCGGAAAACGTAAGCCACAGCCACACCCCAACCCACGTCTACCTCTGAGCTCACAGCAGAGCACCGGGCCTGCCAGGGAGGACAGGGCCCTTTCGGTACCTGGCTTAGCCACGTCTGGGAATTCTGTTCCGTTTACTTAAGAGACGGCTGGTTCACCTCCGTGATATGTTAAAAGCAAAATATGTCAGCTGTACACACAAGTGCCTCTTTGCATTTCAAACTGTGGAAGACAGAGTAGACTTTGTGCTGACGTCCCTGGAGCTGCTGTCACGTCCGCGTGCTCGTCTCTGACCCACTCGGCAGCCCCCCGCCGTGACCGCCGCCCCCACTGCCGCCTTTCTGAGGGGCGGCGACGTGCTGAGTGGGGTTTCACCACGTGCCGCTCACTTGCTCGCTGTCTGTGATTACCTGTAGGGTCAAAGCCAACGTCTTCCTTTGCCTCAGTCGTGACCCGGTCTCCGGTTTGTTACGTCATTGAGCTGCAGGTGCTCTGTTCCAGAACAGTCCAGATACCGCGCCTGCCCTGTCTGCTCAGACCCGACTCACCTCCTAAAGGCCATCTCTTCCATGAAGGCAGTCCTTCCTGAAACGGCCTGTCCCCTCCACGTGGACACTCCCTGCCGGGTCTGTGCATTTCCGCCTCACAGTGCCTTGCCCTGTAATCACTTTTTTATTTTTATTTTTTTTGGACAGGTTTCTTTTTTTACTATAGAGCAAGTGCGTTCGCCAGAAAGAGAGAGAGAGAAAGCGAGAAATCACCCCCCAAGGGGGATGGCCACGCCGCAATCCTTTCTCCTCCATTCTCCTCTCACGATCTTGGGCACGCACGCACATGCGCCTGGCGTGAATTTAAGCCACCGGGTCTGGGACTTGAACTGCGGTCGACTACATGGGAGTCCAGCGACATAGCCATTACACTAACTGCTGGTCCCACTTGTAATCACATTTTAAAAAGCAAAGCAGGTGTCTGCACAGGTCATATGCCCAGGAGCTGTGTGTGTTGGGTCTGGTGGTCAGTGTCTCCGTTTACTGTCCAGATGGGCTGTAAGCTACTTAAACCCTCACCACCCAGGACTGCGGAGCGCATGGAAGGTACATAATAAAGCGTTTCCGAGGTGTGCATTCGAATGACGAGCTCTCAGAATGATCTCTGTCCCCTACCTCATGATGACGCTGTACTGCTCCCGGCACTAACCCTGGGAGTGGTTAGCTCGAGAGAAGAATCGGGACGCATCGTCGGACATCCTGAAACCAGCCACCCTCAAACAGCTGCTCATCCAGACGGCGGGCGAGTGGCAGTACCATCCTCTGCCCAACACAGAGAAGGCCCGGACAGGCCACGAACATGGCCAGTGAAAAAGGGACGCAGGTGAAGCAAGCTCCGTGATGGTCCCGAGGGAGACGAAGCAGGGCGTGAGCGGCGTGCGGAAGGGAACCGGTCTGCAGGACCGCGGCGCTGAGGAGCCCAAGACGTTTTCTGACATCAGAAAACACTGGCGGTGCCAACAACGTGATGGATAGGTGGCATCGGTGGGTGGGAACAGCCCACGAATCTGCCCTGCAGGGACAGGGTCTGAAGTCGCACACCATGAAGGGGATGGAGAAACCCTAGGACCTGAAAAGGAGGGTCCCAGTTCCCACGTGGGAACCCTGTGAGGCCCGGAGGAAGGCAGCCACGACGCTGGTCCTCAGGGCTGCCACTCACACCGGGCCACTGCGGGGACAGCCATCATCCAGGGGAGCTCAGTGGCACACACTGTGAAGCAGACACCAAGTGAAACAGACATAAACACGAAGCACGTGGGACCATCAAACTGCAAAAGGGCCACACGACGGAACATGTACCGTTAGTGCAAAAGTAGGTGTGGGAAGCGAGACCATCCGTCGTCGCCGGCAAGCCCGGGCAGGTGACCGAGGTCGTCCCACGGGTTCAGTCACAGTGCAGCTAACGTGTGAGACCGGCAGCCAGGAGGGGACAGCTAGACTCCTTCCAGAGTTAAAGGCGCCCTAATTTCTTTTAAAAATAGAAAACGTGCGTGCATCAGGTACTGATTTGTTCTCAGCTCCGTATGGACACACCCTTGGAGCAGGAGGTCCGACTTCGCCAGTGCAGGGCCGTGGGAGGGCACGCAGGGCTGGGGGGCCTCTGCTCCCACAGGGGTATGGCTCCCACCGACTCTCACGCGAGTCCTGAGTCTGTGCCGACTCTGCTCCCAGGCCCTGCCGCAGCCCGGCCTTCCATTTCAGCAGCAGACGGCTCCCTCCGGCAAGTTTCCCGGCCACAGTGGGCTGCGTGTCCTGACAGCCAAGCCTCCCTCCAGAGGTCGGCATCTCAGCCTGCGGGGACGGGATCATCTGAGCTCCTTTCCTGGTCACTCTGCCTTGGCCCTGGGGGTGGCTGGTGGAATCTTTCTGAAGTTCCTACTCTACAACTGTGGCCTTAACCGCTACACTACCCATCAGCCCCTCTGTTTAAATATTCATTGCAGGACCAGCAGATGGCGTAATGGTTATGTCACCAGACTCCCAGGTAGCCAACCATGGTTCAAGTCTCAGACCTGGAGGCTTAAGACTCACGCCAGGTGTGTGTGTATGCCCAAGATCCCAAGAGAAGAATGGAGAAGGGACTGCGTGTGGCAGGCCCTCAGGGGGTGATTTCTCGCTTTCTGTCTCTCTCTCTCCAGTGAGCGCATATGCCCTATAGCAAAAATCTCTCTAAAAGTAAATAAATATTAATTGCAGCAGATTCATATGAAGAACAAGCTGCTCCTATCACCACTTCCACTCAACACCCATGTAGTAAAGAAAAAAAAACAGGTGTATCAGCCAAAACTACTGATGGAAGCAGATGATAAGATCATAAATCCAAAATAATCGAAATTGCTAGAATTAATCAGAAATATTTTAGCAAAGTTGCTAAATACAAGGTAAATATATAAAGAAAAAAATCAATTATAGTTCTTTGCTCCCTCAACAGTTAGAATTTAACTATTTAAATTTTTTTTTTGCTATAGGGCATGTGCGCTGGCCAGAAGGACACAAAGGAAGAAATCACACACACGCACACACGCACACACGCACACACACACACACCCAGGGAGGATGGCCCTGCTGCAATCCTTCCTCTATTCTCCTCTCAGAATTTTGGGCAAGTACACACATGGGCCTGGCCTGAGTTTCAAGCCTCCAGGCCCAGGACTTGAACCACAGTTGGCCACAGTGGGAGTCCAACAACATAACCATTACACCATCTGCTAATTCCTAGAAATGAAATTTTCAGAAAATAATTTATAAATGCATGAAATACTAAATACTATATAATACACTCACCACTATCACCTACAGAAAAATCGTATACAACTTTTCAAAGAGGGATGGTCCATAATCTAGAGGCGGGGGGGGGGGGGCTGCATCCCACATGGGCTGACGGTGGTTTGAATCCCAGCCCCAGTGGCTTGGGAAACATGCTGGGCACATGTGTATGTGTGCCTTAAACACTGACTAGCTGGGAAATGGAGAAGAGATTGTGACGTGACCATGCCCCGTTGAGGGTGCTTTGTCCCTCTCTGGTGAGTACACATGCCCTCTGGCAATTAAGACTAAAATGACGACCACAGATAATATAGAGTTAATGTAAACCTAAACAAATGTAGGACTATGTCACGTTCGAGGTTGGGAGACAACGTAGTTGCCGGTTCTCCCCAAATCTGTTTAATGACAGCCCAATAAAAACCCTAACAGGTGGTGTGTGTAACAAGCAGATTCAAATACAAAGGGCGGAAGCCTTCAGCTGGAACCAGTTCTATTTTAGGGTTGTAACAACCAGGATGGGGCAGCACTAGTGCAGAGAGACCTGGGCCTAAAGAACAGACCCCTCACAGATTGTTTATGACGTGCGGCACTGCGTGAAGGGAAACGGTAGCCTTTTCGATAAATGGTGCCGGGACAACTGGATATCCATGTGGGGAAATACGAAAGGTCCTTGGCTCAAACCACATTCAGAAATCGACTCCAGGTATATTTGACGAAATGGAAGGACAGAACTACACAGCTGCCAGACAACACAGAGTAACTGCGGTGTGTGACTAGGGCGAGATTTCCTAAGACACACCACCATAAAGGAAAAGACCACACATCTCTGGATTAAAATGAGATTCTTTTGTTCACAAACAGAAACTATAGAGAAATGGAAAAGGCCAGAGAATGAAGACATCTGCTACACACGCAGCTGTCACATGGCTCAGGTCCGTAAGAGATACAGAAAAACGCATGGTGACTCCCATGGCTCGATAAATTGTTGCCGAGCACTAAGAAACGGAGACTCCAATAGCGGAACGGGCAAACACGAGCGCTTCAAGCGAGAAACACAAATGGCCAGTTAACAGAGGCGACGCTTCATTCATAATCGGGGAAGTACGTGTTACCAACGCAGGAACTGCTCCGTTCCTAGGCTGGCAAAAAGGACGTAGAAAAAAGGAAATCTCATGAATGTGCTGCTAGGCGCATAAAATTGGGAGGTTGGCAGGTGGTGTGGTGGTTAAGAGCACTGGATTCACACATGGCCAACTGCGGTTCGAGTCCCAGACCCGGCGGTTTTGCTTTCTAACTTTCCTTCTCTCTTGCTGTCCCTCTCTGGTCAAATTTAACGTTTAAATTAAAAAAAAAAAAATTGTAAAATTGGTACAGTCACTTTGGAAAGTAGTTTGACATTTTCTTATAAAGTTGAAGATGCACATTCCTTGTCAAATTCACCACCCTGCAAACTCGAGGCTCCGTGTTCCACAGAACACTCCCTGCACTGCGTGGCCTGTGTGGCTATACACAGAAGTGTTTCCTCCTATGGCTCAGCAACTTAAATTCTGAATATATGCAAGGGGACTTCAAAAAGTCCAAAAAAATGGAATTTAAAGTATAAGTGTCTGGTGCCAACAGATGGTGTAGTGGTTACATCGCTGGATTCTCACATGGTCAGCCGCGGTTGGAGTCCCAGACCCGGTGGCTTGAAACTCATGCCAGGCATGTGTGCGTGTGCATTTAAGATTATGGGAGAAGAGCGGAGGAGAAAGGACTGCGGTGTGGCCATTCCCCTTCCCCTCTCACTGTCTCTGCAACAAGCACACCCTAAGGCAAAAACCTCTAAAAAAAATAGTACAAGTTTCTTTCAGTGCAGAATTTTTCTTAAGAATTATTTTTTATTTAACTTTATTTTAATTTGACCAGAGAGGGACAGAGAGAGAGAAAGAGAAAAAGAGAGGGAAAGTAAAGCAAGCCACCAGGTCCGAGACTCAAACCATGGTCAGCCATGTAGGAGTCCAGCACCCTGAACCATCACACAACCTCCCAGTGCCCAGTGAAAAAACACTTTTTTCCCACATGAAAAAAAAAATTTTTGACAGGTTTTTGCTATAGGGCAGAAAGACAGAGACAGACAGAGAGACAGAAAGCGAGAAATCACTCCCCAGGGGGGATGGCCACACCACAATCCCTTCTCCATTCTCCTAGGGATCTTGGGCACGCAATGACACACGCCTGGCATGAGTTTAAGCCACCGGGTCCGAGACTCGAACCGCGGTCGACTACATGGGAGTTCAGTGACGTAGTCATTACGCTAACTGCTGGTCCCTCCACATGAAAATTTTTGAGTTTATTAATCGTCTCATGAAAAATCCACACAATCACCGCAGATAGTCATTGCAGAATCTTTCCGCCATCGACTTTTGGCCAGCACCAACGTGGGCCTTTGCAGTCCTCCTGACTTTCTTCATTCTGTTCTCACGTTCTTTTCGCTGTTTTCTTGACTTCTTTTTCTTCTCATAAAGGCCAAGTCTTGCAAAGTCTATGTTTGGGTCCACTTTTCTTCATATAATCCAAAGAATCGTAAATCACACCAAAGCCAGTAGTCTCGCCACCACCAACATGGGTTCTGAACCAATACAGAATGCCATCTGGTGTGGTCTTGTACATCCTTGCTAGTTTTTCCCAAATTTCCATCTTAGGTGCTGTTGCCTTCCAGGGGTGAAGGACATCAGTGACCATTTGTCTCCTCTGAAGTGGTTGGTCATGAATTTCCTGGTTTGGTTAGTTACTGTGTCATTCATGATGGCGGAACACTGGGAGGAAAAGAGCCCCCAGTGCAAATTTTTTGAAGCACGTGAAGATTTTGAAAACCCCTTATATTCTTTTTAATATTTATTTTAATGATTTATTTTAGAGGTTTTTGCCTTAGGATGCATGAGAGAGAAACAGACAGTGAGAGGGAAAGTGAGAAATCACCCCCAGGGGGGATGGCCACACTACAATCCTTCTCCATTCTCCTCCCGGGATCTTGGGCACGCACATGCACATACCCTGCATGAGTTTCAAGGCACTGCGTGCAGGTTTGAACCACAGTCGGCCATGCGGAAGTTCAGCAATACAACCGCTATGTCTTCTGCTGGCCCCTATTTATTTCATTTTAGTTACTTTTTAACTGAAACAGAGAAAGTAAGCTGCCAGGTTTACTGGAACCACAGTAGGCCAAGTGGGAGTCCTGCCCATTCATCACTACGCCACCTGCCAGCCCTGACCCCTTGTATTCTAAATAGCTTGCACACTGACGTGTTGACAGCGGTACTGTTCACAATAGCCAAGAACTGCAAACTACCCAATGAAAAGAGATGACCCAGAATTGACAGCAATGTGGGTGCACAGTACAAACATAATCTTGAACAAAAAAATGGGGTGCATGCACACACACCTGGTGTTTTTCAAGCCACTGGGCCAGGATTTGAGCCACACAGCCATGAAGTATTGAGCTCCCTTCACCGACAGGCCACAGGGCTGGCCCCGTGGCAGTTTTATTTGTAGTAGTAAAAAACTGAAGAACCCAAATTCCCATCAAGGGGTAAATGAATATACCATAATGTAAACACTATACAGCAATAAAAAGGAACGGACTGTTATACGTGCAACATGTAAAAGTCTCCGAAGAGTTATGCCAAGTGAGAATGCCAGACAAAAAAGAGATACATGATTCCCTTTATGTAACATCTATAAAATGCCTATCAATCTATACTGACAGAAACGGGAAGAATTCTTGCCTAATGATGGGAGAGGGTGGGCAAGGATTAACAAGGCAGAGAAGACTTTTTTTTTTTTGAGAGATTTTTTCACTATAGGGCATGTGCGCTCGCCAGACAGGCAGAGAGAGACATTAGAGACAGAAAGCAAGAAATCACCCCCCAGGGGGGATGGTCACGCCGCAATCCCTTCTCCATTCTCCTCTCGGGATCTTGGGCATGCACGCACACGCGCCCGGCGTGAGTTTTAAGCCACCGGGTCCGGGATGCAAACCGTGGTTGACTACATGGGAGTCCAGCGACATAGCCATTACGCTAACTGCTGGTTCCCAAGGCAGAGAAGACTTTGGCAGTGAGAGTTGTGTGCGTCATTTCAGTTGCGTGTGATGGTTTACAGCTGTGTGAGAGCTTATCCAATTGTATGCATTACGCTGTTACATCAATTATTCATCAATAAACCTTTAAAAACCAATCTTTTGTCTAAGTATTTATACTTAAATACTGCTAAACAATACTTGCAATGTTTTCTCCTTTATATTTTAAATAATTAAAATTAAATAAAAGTAGATTCAATAGGTCTACTTATTAAAGGGGGGGAGGAGTAGCCCAAAGTGGCTTACACGTCAGGATGTGAGGCAGAACGCTGGTCCCTTAGGAAATGAGACCGGATTGTGAGTAGAGGGTAAGTGGCAGGCAGCAAGAAAATATTCTGACAAAACACAGCAAGGGTGAGCCAGTCGCCCAAAAAAGGCTTAGTCTAGGAAGAGAGTACGATTCACTATTTGCAATATAAATAAGCCAGTAAGGACACTTATATTTGGAAAATCTTTATAAAAATTTTATTTGCAATCTCATGTTCTTTAAAAAAAAAATAAAGCATGCAATACATCGAAATTGAGGGGAAAAAAAGCGGTACTTCTTTATGAGAGACTTCTATACACTCATTTATTTTACCCCATGATTCATTTCCTACCCTGAAACAACGATAAAACATTTTGGCTTTTTTTCACTCCTGCTTTGAAAGGGCACTGCCACAAGAGCTCTTCCCTGCCAGAAAGAGGTGGCTTCCCACTGCTGGATGGGGCCAGTGGCGCTCATCTGCCCTGGCCCAGGGGTCACCAAACCCGGGACTCAAAGGCCGCCTTTCTCTTGCGATCTCTGTCTCTGGGCTTCTCTTTTACTCACAAACTCCACTTTAAAACAGCTTGGATTTTAAGCACTCAAGAACTGCTTAAGAAATAATTAAGGGATCTAAAGTTCAATTAATTTAGTGACTATTTTCTGTATAGGACTCTCTAAAGCTAATTTAAAAAGTATATGTACAGAACAACCCAATACTAAGAAGGGGATGAATTCCGGGAGCAAATGCATTTTATAAGCTTTGTCTCAAAATAAGATCAATCCTACAAAGAACTTATAATATTAAAAAATGCAATTTACACAGTAAAAAGGATCTGATTTGTTTTCAGTAGGAAAGTACTTTTAATTTCTTTACAGCTGGTACAATGGCATCCAAGTCATCAATTTCTGGAATAGAAAAACAAGAAGAGCGATGAGCTCAGATGAAATGAAAACCTCTGCAAATGCAAGCCTCAGACCTGCACCCGGTGCTTCTGTGCACGGGGAGTCTCCTTTCCAATAGTGACGGAAGGCCGCCGGTCCAGGGGCTGGTGCTTCACGGAGCATCTGCTTATAAAAGCTGCCACTTTTTTTTTGGTATCATATACAATTTCTTTTTTTCGGTTTTGCCTACATTCTACGGCAGAGACTGAAGAATGAGAAGATATACTAGTAGGGAGAGCAAATGTAGGTAACAGAGACTGTACCGGGGTGAGTAGTGGGAGAGGCTCGAGGAAAAAGCATTCAGCAGACACTAGAATACAAGGTTCTTTGTTGAAAATGGCATGTGTGGTAACTTCCCTGATCTGATTATCACATACCACATGCATGCTTTGAAAAAACATACTCTATGCAGTTAAGAGGTACAACAAATGAAATGTAAATAAATTATAAAACGTAAACTTTTTTTTTGAGAGGTTTTTGCTATAGGGCGCATGCGCTCGCCAGAAAGACAGAGAGAGACAGAGAGACAGAAAGCGAGAAATCACCCCCCAGGGGGATGGCCACGCCGCAATCCCTTCTCCTCCGTTCTCCTCTCAGGATCTTGGGCATGCACACACACGTGCCTGGCGTGAGTTTAAGCCACCGGCTCCCGGACTCAAACCATGGTCGACCACATGGGAGTCCAGCGACATAGCAATTACACCAACTGCTGGTCCCCTAAAATGTAAACATTTTAAAATAAAAGCTACCACATACCTACAAGTGTCCTCTGACTGGTATTACCCTCAGCAGCAGCAGGCTCTTACCGACAAGTCCAAGTGCCACATTTATAAGACGCTGGTGCCACTTTGGCCCCGTGTAACTGCATGGCAGGCCTACATGGGGAAGTGCCAGGCAGAAACCCCTCTTTCCTGGGTCTCGGTCTGAGGACTTAGAGAATTCATCTCAGAACACAGTCTTGTCTTAATTCTCCTGGGAAGACTGTTGATTAGCTGCATCACTCTCAGGTCTACCTTTCAAGAAAACAGGCACCTGCCTAGGAAGAAGGGCGAGGCTCCTGAGCGGAATGAGCCTCAGGGGGATTACAGAGTCTAGCCTGGTCCAGCTCACCAGAAAAACCAGTTCCGGTTCTCCCCTGACGGGTTCTGAATTTAATTTCTTTCCTGAGACTATCTTATTCCAGCTAGCCTAAGTTATTGGGTGGTCAGAAAAGTCAGGATGTATTTTTCTGTGCAAAAATGCATCCTGACTTTTGTGATGACCCAATAGAATTCTCTAAGCTCCTGGCCACTGAGGAAGCAAAATCCTTCTCGTTATCCGGACCCCAGTCCTCCTGAAGGTGAGCCACAATGGCAGCTTCTCAGGTGCTTCCTCCTTTCTTGTTCTGCTAGGCCGCTCACAAACGCACCTCCTTTACATACAACACGCTCGCTTGGGCTCCCGCTCTCTCCATTGTGGATGGGCGGGAACTGGTGGTTCTCTCTGTAGCCTAAATACATGGCCCATGCTATCCCACAATTCACTGAGTGTTGTCACCTCCCTGCTTCAGGGGGCATGTCTGGATCCACGTGCAAAGCATGAAGACACGGGAGGAGACAGTGTAAGCAGACCTCCCCAGAGAGCGTGGTTCTTACCTTACACGGTACTAGACAAGTTATTCCCAGGTGCCCCGCTCTGAACCCACACCTAGTTTCTCACCCAATGAGAAACCTGCCTTAGAAATGACCCTCACAGAGCAGGACCTTGGCCGATAAGGGGATTTTCTCAACCCACTACTTGCATGAAACAAAGAAAAAACATATTTTTAAAAGTCACGATTATCACAGACAGCGCTATCTGCCTATCCGGTATTCGTACACCACTTTGTACCCAGATGCTAATGGCGTAGTAGTTAAAGAAAGCATGGTCGTGCTGAACAGATTAAAGTTCCCCGATGTTAAATATAATACTTAACTCTGGAATTTCAACGTTAACCAAAGCACAGAATGAATCTTCAGAGAAACATGGCTTTCTAAAGCAAATGATCTCAAATGAAACATGCCAAGTATTAATATCGGGGAGGAGGTTTCCGTAGGACTCTGAAGTGAGTGTAACCAGCACACCTGTCAACGTATGTATTCATAAGGGAATTTTGCTCCTTAAGTTAAGGGCCAACCCAAGCCAGTAGAATCATTATTCTATGAACTTAAGCTCTCAGGAGACTAAGCTACACACTCGCACAATTTCGTGACTCATGTGTCTTTCAAAGACAGAGTGTCACCGCATGGCGATCTTCCTGCCTGAGCCTTCCAGCTGAGACGACAGCCGTGCGCCAACGCTCCTGCCCCGTGCCTCCTCTCAAGTTTAACGTTCAAGTTATACTGTTGTCTCTGCAGATGTGTACTGTATTACTATTGCAGCCCAGCAGGTAGGTGCCCTCACAAAAAAGTGACAGAAAAGGGCCAGGTGACGGTGTAGTGTGATGTGGCGCTCTGAGACAGACCCAAATGGGAGGCTCCAGGCTCACCCTAGGGGCCCCCGAACTCCCTGGGGCACATGCTCACTGTTGGAGGCTGGCCGAGGCTGGGGGTGTCTGCAGCATCGGACCCTGCTGGGGTGCCTGTGTCTCTCTCCCTCTCTCTCTCACTCACGGAAAGAAGAAACAAACTTGGGGAAAAAGAGAGAAGAGGAAAAAGGGGAGTCTCCTCCAAGATCATAATTCTGCCAAGATCTCTCATTACGCAATGACAGGGCCAGGGTTACACTGGCCTGGCCACAGTCATGCCATTTCTCATGGTAAGGTCCCCGGTCAAAGGCAGGCTCTCTCTCCTTAAAGGGTCTCTGTTTCCCTGTTCTGTTCCTAACCGACTCGGAACGGTATGTTGGGGAAGTGTGCTCAGAACTATCTGTGGTTCTTAGGCACCTCCTACCAAACATTCAAGGTAGAAACGTTAATCCAGTGACTAAGGAACGCTGTTCATTCAAACCAACTGACATTTTAAAACTCAAAATTTAACCACCACCAATAGAGATCTTACCTAAGATTTCAAGTAGATCATTAGTAAATGCCTGAAACGCTGGGAAAAATTCCTCATGTTCTTCCAGCTTGTTGATAATGCTGTTTAAAAAATGCACAGTTTATTTAAAATTGCCAACAGACGGTTCCTACATCTGAGTGCACACAGGGGGTTAGGAATAGAACATTTTCAAAGAGGAGGAAGTTATACTAATTTAAATAAAAACTTAATGATCACTTACTATAATCCTTCCTTTCTGAGTTCTGTTCACCTAATATCACTTTTACAGAAAAATCAAAAGTATCCCCTATTTTCTCAGAATAAACATTTGTTAAATTTACATAACATTCTGGGGCCAGCAGATCATGTGGTGGTTGAGGCACTGGACTCCCATATGGCCAACTGTGGTTCAAGTCTCAGACCCGGTGGCTTGCTTTCTCACGTTTCCTCTCTCTCTCTCTCTCACATACATGTCCTATAGTGAATTAAAACAATAATAATAATAAAAATAATTCTTTTAAAAAATTTATATATAACATTTTAATGTGGGCAACATCCCATTTAGCTCAAAGGCCTCTTAGAGAAACTATACTTTTATATTATTTTCTAAAACAAATGAACTTTTGTGCCTAGAATCCTGTTAAACATTAAGCATCAATTGTCAGTAATTGTGGGAAAGGAGAAACAGATCAACAGTGAGACATATTCTTTTGAATTTTTAAAAAATAATTAACTTTATTTTGACCAGAGAGGGACAGAGTGAGAGAGAGAGAGGGAGAGAGGGCCTTTTTAAAAAAAAAAAAAAAATTTAAATGTTAGTTTTTTCTATAAGGGTATGTGCACTCACTGGAGGTGAGAATGAAGGAATGAGAAATCCCCCCCAGTGGGATAGCCATGCCCCCATTCCTTCTCCTCCAGTCCCCTCTCAGGATTTTGGGCATGTACACACAAGTGCCCAGCGTGCTTGGCAAGCCATTGGTCTGGGACTTGAACTGCACAGCTACGTGGGATCCAGCCACCTTAGCCACTGTCCCACCTCCTAGCTCCTATGTTCTAAAAACATCAAATATCAGAAGGTTCAAGTCTCATCTGTAAGGGTTCTTGAAATCTTGCAGAACATGTGGCATATGTGTGTTTCCCTTCTCCTATGTTACAGCACACAATCGGGGGCGGGGAAGGGAAAGGTGCTCTAAGTAGCTACGATCTTTTTTGGGGGGGGGAGAGATTTTTGCTATAGGGTGCGTGCAGTTGTCAGAGAGACAGAAAGTGAGAAATCACACCCCAGGGAGGATGGCCACGCCACGATCCTTTCTCCTCTCTGGATCTTGTGCACACATATACATGAGCCCTGCGTGAGTTTTAAGCCACTGGGTCCGCGACTCAAATCGTGGTCGACTACGTGAGAGTCCAGAGACATAACCATTACGCTATCTGCTGGTCCCAATGTGTCAGTATTTCTAAAAAAAAGTTAGGCTTTATATTAGAGAGGTCTAGTATTTTCAAAAACTCTTTAACATTTGTCTTCTAATCAAATCATCAATACACTGACAGGGATTATTTCGTGGTCTGTGCTAATGCTCTAAAACAGGACTTGATGAAGCACTCTGAACTCACATGAAGGTGCCAACAGATCCTTCTCCGCGTGTGATTCTCCCTGGGCACAGGCTTACCCTGGGAAGGTCCTGACCACCCTACGTAAACTCATGGGGCTCATCATTTATTTTTATCTTAAAAACTTGGCACTTTCTCCATCCCTAAGGGTGTGACGTTACTTGCGGTTGTAAAGTTATTTAAAAGGTATGATTCTAAACAGAGAAGGTAAATTTAACTTATGACATTTTCTAAGTCTTTAATCTTACCCCTCTAAGCATCCAGGTAATACCTGGTCTTAAGTACCTTTGTATTAAGCACTTTGTACTAAGTACCTTTGCATTAAGCACTTTGTATTAAGTACCTTTGTATTAAGCACTTTGTACTAAGCACTTTGTACTAAGTACCTTTGGAGGTCTTCAGGTCCTAATACCTGCTTAACCTGCTCGTTGACATCCTCGTTGATCAGCTTGCACAATTTCCCAACTGTGCTTACCAGCACACACAGTGAGGACGAACTATCTGCAAAAACAAAACACGAGTCTAGGCTGTTTTAAAAGAGAATTTCAAAGTGATTCCATCACATATCACGTTTTATTACGTTTCAGTTATCCTCAACTTTTTTTGAAGACATCCTCGTTGATCAGCTTGCACAATTTCCCAACTGTGCTTACCAGCACACACAGTGAGGACGAACTATCTGCAAAAACAAAACACGAGTCTAGGCTGTTTTAAAAGAGAATTTCAAAGTGATTCCATCACATATTATCACATATTTTACGTTTCAGTTATCCTCAACTTTTTTGAACTTTAAAATGTTTTCACATACTTTTTGTTAATTAGGAACCATTCTTAAATTGGAACCGAAAGTGATAAAGGGCCCTCACCTAACTCCAAGAGTTCCTGGAGGTTTCGCACAGCATTGCTCATCTCTCCAAGCCTGGTGTAAACTTCGTTCATTCGAGGGTAGACTCCGTTTAAAGAAGGCACATCGAACAGCTTTTGGAAATGAGCGACGATAGCTTGCAAAGTTTGAAAGTTTGGCATACTGCTGTCCTGTCCAAAAGAGAGGGTGAAAAAGAGACGTTCACATCGTAAAATAATCCCAAATCTTTCACAACCAACTTTAAAAGAGAAAGAAACCTAGAACAAGTATATCTATACCAAATTATCAATTTCTAAGATAAGAGCATATTAAAATGTGAACATCTAGGGGCTGGCAGGTAGTGTGATGGGTAGGGTGCTGGACTCCCACATGGCCGGTCGCGGTTCGAGCCCCGGCCCTGCTGCTGAGCACGTGCACCTGTTCTCGCTGTCTGGTGAGTGCACATGCCCTAGAGCAAATTAAAGATAATGATGAGAGAGAAAATTAAAATCAATCTTAAAAAAAGTAAACATTTGGGACCAGCAGTTAGCGTAATGGCTATGTCGCTGGACTCCCACGTAGTCGACCGTGGTTCGAGTCCCGGACCCAGTGGCTTAAACTCACGCCGGGCACGTGTGCATGCATGCCCAAGATCCTGAGAGGAGAATGGAGGAGAAGGGATTGCGGCGTGACCATCCCCCCTGGGGGGTGATTTCCTGCTTTCTGTCTCTCTGTCTCTCTCTGTCTGTCTGGCGAGCGCACGCGCCCTATAGCAAAAATCTCTCTCTCAAAAAAAGGTAAACATTTCCTAAGTACTCACCTTCTCCTTATTTTCAACTTCTTCCAACATGGTATCTACGATAAACAACAGATCTTCAACTTTGATACCTTCATTTTCATCCTGCTTCTTCAAATTATGCCAAGGCACCAATTCTGAAGACAGCATTTTCAAGGACTTATACAAATCCTTTAAAACAAAAGAAATGTGATACGATTCACTTAAGTACTTGCTACAGGAATACGAATACAATATAGCCAGGCAAATTAAAAAGTAATATGTTTCTATAACGATGATCAGTAGTTTCAAAAGAATTATTCTTGTTTAGAACAGGTCTGTTAAAATTAGGTTGGCTGAGGTAAATACGAGGCTTACAAAAAAATTATATATTGATTATCTTCAATCTGGATGCTCTGAGTAATTACATGTTGTCGTTAATGTTTTTAAGCAATTGTTTTGAATTACTGACACATAAAGAATAAGCTTATCCTTATATTTTGGTTCTTGATTTTTAAATTTATTTTACGGGTAGAGAGCACATGTGTGCATATGTGAGAGGGAGGAAGGGAGAAAAAGAGAGAGGCAAGCAGGCAGACAGACAGACAGACACACACACGCAGGCAGACACACACACACACACACACACACACACACCCTTACCAGGATCCAATCATACTGTGAATCCCTTCCCCCAGCCCTTCAGCTAGGCAGGATACGGGGCTCATGTCTCAAGCGGACAGGTGCTGTGGACTGTCAGGAGGAGGCTGGCCATGGTCTGAATTTTCATAACAGCTTTATGGAGATGTAATCGCACACTATCAAATTCCCCCCATTAAGAATTCAGTGGTCTTAATATTTTCACAGAGATGCACCAACATCACCCCTATCTAATTCCTGAACACAGTCACTTCCCGGAAAGATGTCCCACACGTACTCGCTGTCTTTCCACACTGCCCCAGCCCTCAGCCCCGACCACGGGTCTACTTTGTTCTTATGGAGTTGCCTACTCTGGTAATGTCACGTAAATGGATTTACACCATAAATGAGCCTCTTTTGTAACGGTCTTCTTTCATTGTTGAGACTCGTCCACGCTGTAACATGTATCCCTAGGCGATCTCCAACCGGTCTACTTGGCCTCCTCCAGCTCGCCATGTTGCCCGGATCTAGCTCGAACAGTGCACAGAGGGCGCGGCTGACTGGAGGGGCAGAGCTCGGAGACTGAGCCACCCGCAGGCACTCACTGAGCGGCTACTCTGTGCACTGCGCATGCTCGGCCCTTCGGAACACGTTGTCCAAAAGAAAAGTAATGCGAGCCTCAGTAATTCAAAGCCATCTAGTAGCCACATGATGAAAAGCAAAAACGAATCAGTGATACTCATTTTAATACTAGATTTAGCCCCAAAGATCCAAACAATCATTTCCATGTATGATCAATATTTTAACTTTTTTCCTTCTAATTCCAACGTATGTACTTATGGCACAGCTCCATTGGGGCTAGTCATATTTCCAATATCCAATAGCCACATTCACCTAGGGCTTCTGTATCCGTGAGTTCTAGAATACAAACAGAAGTGCAAGAAATGCCTCTTTTTCCTAACTTCTTTAGTCCTCCACTTATTTAATACTCAAGTAAGGCCCAGATTTCACACACATCGTGACACCTTGGATCTTTAATTCAGGAGGAAGGCAACATGGCAGTAAATTCCATGTCAAACGAGTGTTTGAACCAGTAAGTGCCGCTAGGATTCGGAAAACAGCAAATGACAGTATAAATAATACCTTTATTAACCAATGGTCCACCAACAAGGCACATTTATCAAGTGGTCCGCGGTAAAAGACACACCCAACCTGGGCCAGCCCTAGCACAGGGGCCTGAAGTGCTATGCGTACAAGCTGGGCCCTACACAGGGGACCACAGTTCGACTACCAGCCCCAGAGCCCATGCATGTGCCCGGGATCCTGAAGAGACAGAAACAGAAACAGGAAAGAGGACCGCGACGTGACCCATGCACACTGGGGCATTTCTTGTGAGTACACATACCTACCAACAATTAAAGACAAAAACGAGCAAACATTTAAAAACCAGCCCATTTTATACATTTTTGCTTGAGAATAAATAGAACGAAGGTAAGAAGAGAGCTACTCTGGTCTCCTTCGCAGTGGCAGGACATTTGTGATGCGGCCCCCCCAGCCAGTCCTGGGAAACCTAAGAGGGCTGCTAGGTTCCTCACGTTGCCGGCTGTGGGGATGCCGAAGGTCCACAAAGGCCCTCCCGGCCCGGGTAGCCGGCCTCCGAAACAACCCGGGTGCTGGGTGGGAAGGCTAGAGTGTCTGTAGATCGTCTTTCTTGGAAGGGGAGGGCAAAGGCAGAAGGGAAGAGGCAAAAGGCGGCTTGCTGTTTGCTTCTTCCTTTTCCTAGTCTTGTCTTTTTTCCTCTCTCTCTGATTTTCTCATTGTAATAAAATACACATACATAAAAATGTTCTATCTTAACCGCTTTAAGCGTAAGTCTAGCGTTGTTACATATGGTCATAATGTCACAGAGCCATCACTGCCATTCGTCTTACGTCACGTAAAACTGAAACCCTAAACCCACTGGAGTAATCCCCACTCCTCCCACCCACCAGCAGCCCCCACTGTACTGTCTGTCCCCGTGGTCCGGACCACTCTACGGGTCCCACATGCAGAATCACACAGTATCTGTCTTCTTTGTGACTGGCATTTCACTCAGCATAAGGTCCTCCTAATATTCATCCATGTTATAGGATGGATCGGCATTTTCTTCCTTGTTATGCAGGTAATAGTCCAAATACCATATTTTTTTTTTGAGAGGTTTTTGCTATAGGGTGCGTACGCTCGAGGGAAAGGCAGACACAGAGAGACAGAAAGTGAGAAATAACTCCCCAAGGGAGATGGTCACGCTGCAATCCCTTCTACTCCATTCTCCTCTTGGAATATTGGGCACGCATGCACATGCACCCGGACTGAGTTTAAGCCATCGGGTTCAGGACTCGAACCGCGGTCGACTACATGGGAGTCCAGCAACATAGCTATCATGCTAACTGCTGGTCCATACACACCATACTTTTATCCATTTTCTTCTTGAATCCATCCTTCTCTTTTTAGCCAAATCTAATCGAACGTGGGGAGAGCTAATCTGTGCAGATGGCTGTCCCAGACCGAGAGGCTGCTGTTATAAACAACCTTTCTTACATGAGGCCTCAAAGACTCTTACACGGTCTCTCAGTTTGGACCCTCAACTGTCGTATGAAGAGTGGAAGCGCTGCCTAACACCCATGAGTCACTTCGATGGCAGAGGTAGTTCTAAGTTAGTTAACTGAGTTAGTTAACTAAGTCTAACTAGTTCTAACCAAGTTCCTCATGGCTGTCCTTAGAATATTCTAATTATAAAAGTAATTCCTTGCCTCCTTTTACTCAGGAAACAATACAGTAGCAAGAACTCGCCACCACTGCCAAGGCTTTCTCAGGGCAATAATCAGAGAGATCGATCTCTCTCTTCAGAATATAAAGCACAAGTGACATGCATCACTCGCTTGGCACTTCCTCATGAGTGATCTGTTCCTAGAGCATTCACTTCCTTAACTGACAACATGAATATTTAAGTTAAAAAAATTTTTAAAAGAATTATTTAACTTTTAAAATTTATTTTTAATTTAACCAGAGAGGAGAGGAACAGAGTGAGAGACAGGGAAAGTGAGAAAGCACACTGCCAGGTCTGGAACTCAGACCGTGGTCGGCCACATGGGAGTTCATTGCCCTTAACCACCACACCACCTGCCGGCCCTGAATATTTAGATTTTATATTATATTTTAGAGTATATTTTGTCTTTCTAATTAGAGTGAAAGTTGTATTCACGTTTTCTGTATTCACTTCCCACAGCGCCTTGAACATAATCGACAATCCATCACAACTCACTACTTTGATTCTTGCCTTTGCCTCCTTCCTCTTCTAGACTCTTCTAGCTCATCTCCTCTGAGAAGGGGAAAAGTGGAGTGAGCACAGTTCCCTCCTACTGGGAGGGAATAGCAATAATGCTATGATTTACACTATTAATCACTAATTATTTCACCCTCTTCTGAGCAAGAGACTGGAGGAACACCGGCCTATGAAACGTGTGTGTGTGTCTATATATATGTGTATATATAAAGCTGACATATATATATAATTATATAATAACTAAGCTGACTGTGAAGATTCTTTCACACAAAATTATATATGTGTGTATGTATATAAATTATATAATTGTAATGTATAACATAATTTATATATTAAAAAACATAAATATGTGGGACCAGCAGTTAGTGTAATGGCTATGTCGCTGGACTCCCACGTGGTCGACCGCGGTTCGCGTCCTAGACCTGGTGGCTTAAAACTCACGCCGGGCGGGTGTGCGTGCGTGCCCAAGATCCCGAGAGGAGAATGGAGGAGAAGGGATTGCAGCGTGACCATCCCCCTGGGGGGTGATTTCTCACTTTCTGTCTCTCTGTCTCTCTCTGTCTGTCTGGCGAGCACATGCACTCTATAACGAAAAAACCTCTAAAAAAAAAACCACATAAATATGTACACAGTTATATTTATATGGATCACTTATCCCCTTGTGTACTGTACTCACACAGCCTGCAGCTCACTGCATATAGCACCTGCACTACAGCCTGTCTTGCTTTAACTGTGACCCATGAGGACGGAGGTAGAATTTTCCACATGTGGTACCATGTCAGAGTTAAGGAAGTTTGGGGTTTTGGAGCATTTTAGATTGCAGGTTATGGATGCTCAATTGGATCTAATGCCTCACCCGAGAGAGAGAGGGAGTGGGACAGGAAAAGTGAGAAAAGGGTCTGGGACTTGAACTGTAGTCAGCCATGTGGCAGTCCTGCACGTTAATCACCACGCCACCTGCTGGCCCCTGGCGATTCAGGCAACAAAAACCGAGAAGTCCCAGCTATGGTGGTACATGCCGCGAGACGCTGCTACCTGGAGGCTACGGTGACACAGGGGACTCAGGCCAGTCCCTGGCCCGCCCTGAGAGCAGGCCAGGTGCAGTGGGGCACATCTGTGGACCTGGCTAGTCAGGAGGCCCTGACATGGCGAGACGCTGTCAGAGGTCAGTCTCCCTTTCTCACAGATAAATCACTGTAAAACCCTGAAGGATCTGAGGTTACACAATAAAGAACACAGAATAACTTGCAAAGGGAGTACACGTGCCGTGCCGTAGATGGACGGAGGAGTCACGAGTAGGATCGGCTGCAACTATTACCTCTGCTCCGAAGGACAGGCAGACGTGGGACCTTCAGGCCGTGCGTTCATTTCATTAAACATATAAATTCTAATGAGAACCAAAACCTTTCCAGAAAAGTTTAAATGAATTTAAAAATGAATTGGACTAGGGAACCAGCAGTTAGCGTAATGGCTATGTCACTGGACTCCCACGTAGTCGACCGCGGTTCGTGTCCCGGACCTGGTGGCTTAAAACTCACGCCGGGC